CCCCGAACCGATTACTATTATACAAAGTTGCACAACCATCCCAGAGGTGGTTTATTCCCAGACCTATGTGTGTCAAGGTAATGCTTTAGCCATAAAATAAAATTTATGGACAGATCATTATCCCTGGAAATAGGTGCACTCCGAAGCCCACTCCATGAAAACAATCGGAGTGATGGCTGGGTGTAAGGAATGTCCCTAGCAAATGATCGAAGGATGACCTATTGGAAGCATAGGAGAGGAAGTAACTGCAGAAGAAATGAAGTGGGCTGGAGTCCCAAAAACGAATACAATTCCAAATAAGTCATTGAGAATTGGATACGGTAAGGTAAATTGCACAGTTCGGAAGGCAACGTGTCCATGCTCTTTCTTCACTAATGACAGCTAACAGGAATGCTCTATTGAGTCCCAAATCTCGGCGGAAATCTGACTATGAATTGCCTAATTGTGATTATCTACAAGGCTCTACTGGGATCTGGCGAACTGGCAACCATGAAGGTGTTGATTTTTTCCGAAAGGATCACATTTATTTCTCTTCAATCGTGTGGAAAATCTCTAGGAGTGTAGAGCTATTTTTATCAAAATGAAAAATAAAAAGTCAAAAATTTACCGGCAGAAGCCATTGTGCGGGTACTGCTGCGGTCCCAGATTGAAGTTTTACAGCAGTGAGAATAGAGTAAAGGAGAAGTCGGTGAGGACGGAGGCACCAAATTCGGGAAGGGCTGTCCTTGCGCAAGCCGGCAAAGCTTCTTCCTCTACAGATCGTACCAATAGCTATACTTGACCAATAGAAAGATATTACGGTTTATATTGAAAAACTCCCACTACATGCTATTAACGCAAATCTATCGGCGCATCGTCTCAAAACTTTCGGACCAATCTCATTTGAACCGGTGGCTTCCTATGCCTATTCTGGATAATGGCCTGACTTAACCGGACTCCTGAGGGCGAGGTATCGTTGGGATCGGAGATCTGTAGAGAAATCTTTGGGAAGGCAACCGCGGAAAGAACCAAATGCCTAGTTTGTTCCCCATCAACTCAAAAGTAAGCAGAAAATTCAATACTTTCGCTTTTGGATGCCCTGGCCTGGCTTGATCAACAGTTATTGGTCTGTGAACAAGTATTCAGATGATGGAGGTCTGAATGAAGAAGGCGCAGGCTGCAGATCGTCGCTAAAACTTTCTGGCGGGGAGGTGGAAGAGTTGGAAATGGAAGTCAACGGGGTACTTGAAAGACAACAAGAAAAACTGGGAACATGTCATGCATTAGACCTCGGAGACAGGGACATGAGGGTTTCTGACATGAGCGAAGATACGAGGATATGTTATTCATAACATCAGGTAGTTAAAGCGACTGTGGTTGACAAGCTGTCAAACCACCCATCAAAAAAAACGATGAACGGCTATGAATTTATGTATTTTGAAGTACAGTTCGTTGGAAGACAACCTAAGAAAGTATGAAATTCATCTTGCAACAAAGTCGTGAATGGAAGTACGGTAGGTGTCTGTCTGTGACACCCATGTAGGGGTCAGGGGAGCAGGAAGTTACTGGAACAACATATTACAGCACCGAAGTTCGCCCACTCGAAAATAGGCAGTAGAGGGATTGGATTTCAGCTTAGCTCCTGAGAATTGGAAATTACTGAACGTCTCCGTTGGCACGACGACCAGAATGGGATGGCTAAAGAAGAGATGGCGAATTACAAGTTGTCAAAAAGTAGACAGATGTAAGCCCAAATGGGAAAGTTGGTAGGGCAAAACTCTGA